TGCGCCAGAAGCCTCTTGGGCACCCAAAAGTGCTTAAGACAGACCCGACACGAAGTAGGCGTTGAGGGTCCTCATCTCCTTGTTGAGCTTGGCCTCTGCTTGTAGCGATCTCAACCGCACACCTTGGTTGTGGGAGCGATAGCAGCTTTGGCCCACTTCTCAAACGATGAGTCCACAGCCAGGGGTGACGCGTCGTCGTCTGCAGCCCCATAACCACTAAGATTGGCTAAATTACACATGAGAACCAGCAGCTGCAAGCAGCATCCCAGGTTACCCGGACTCACCATTGTTGCCGTTGTTGTGATGTCCTGCTGCTGCGGCTCTGCTGGTGCTCGAAGTTGCCGTACTCGCTGTTGTGGTTCGGGTGCTTCATCTGCATCTTCGTGCCTGTGGCCACCCAAGCCCCAAGCCCGCATAAACCTCTACATCCTCTTTGCAGCCAAAATCTTCGTAAGACCATCCGCCAACTGAGAACCGCGTTGACGCACGGCACCCGCTCTCACCTTAAGGTGCCTTGTTCTCCAGCTTCCCCCTTCCTCAGAGGCCAGGGTGATCGCCGCCGAGTTGTCCACAAGAAGCTCACGTAGTGCAGCTTGAGCACCTTTTCTCAGACAGCAAAGCATCGCCGCCCAGAATACAACAGCTCATAGCTGCCGCCCGTGTAGGTGATGAAGGAAGGTTCTCGGCCGGTGCGGTAACGCAACTTCCAGTCCTTCGTGTAGTTCCTTTCGCCCAATCGTCGCCGCCCTCTCTGGGCGAGCCAGGCGAGCTAACACCGGTGATTGAGCCTCCGTCGTAGGCTCCGCCTTTTCGTAAGCTCCCGGGAAGGAGCTTGTTGGATTCTGCGGGACATCCCTGTTTCTTCGCCGCCGGAATGCTGGAGATCTGTCGTACCCCAATCTCGTACCGTCGAAGAACTTCTTGGATGTACCCCTCCTGGTCCAAGGAGTATCGCCCTCGTCACTCAGGACGACCTTCACCTCCATGCCCAAGAACCTTAGCGGGGACTCGTGTGAGGCAAACTGGATTTCCGTAGTTTGCCACGTAGAGGAAAAACCATCATGAATATCCTCATACTTCCTTGGGGCCTGCGACCAGGTAGTCCTCGATGTAGACCGCAATAAGTCCACACAGCTCGCCCGCCTTGTTGAGGACTCGCCGAATGTTGGGTTCCGCAACTCCTTGCTCAAACGTGATGGCCTTCATCATGTCGAAGGCAATCCAAGTCTCGTCCGCTGCCACACCAACCCTGCCCGCACCAGGACCGCCAGGTCTTATTGCCAGAAGAGTTGCCTCGGGAACTGAGGGTCTCAAGAAGGCGTGCACGCGTCTCCATTGCACCACCACCACTTCTTTCTAGCCTCCTCTCCCACAAGAAGGCGAACTCCTTCTGCTGCCTCTCCTCCGCTGTAGTTAACTTCCTCATCTGACTTCTTCTGGAAGTTGCCACAACGAACAATCCTGGTTTTTCGTCGAAACCAGGTTCCCGGCTTCGAAGGAGTTTTCACGGTGTATACTTCTTTTATCTTCTTTTCCTGGTACAATGACTTCTCCTTTTGGGAGTCGATGAAGTCCTTCGCCTCCTTTCCTCCTTTCCCCGCTTCGTGGCCTTCATATTCTCCAAGGCCTTGAGCTCATCCGTCATTGAGGGAATCGACTCGGTGATTCTCGACGTTCGACAGTTCATAGGAGACGTAGGATTCGTGACTTTGCACAAGGACAGGAACTCATCCTGGAGGGCGCGGAGGTCAAGAGCTGCGCGACCCTTGATGCGGGCCAACCGACAGCATGCGACACAGCGGTTCGATGCAAGCACCCGAGGCTTTTACATCCGGCGTGGCTTAGTGCAGACGCGCCTGGAGCTTGAGCTATTTTGCCGATCCACGGAGACCAATGGTCTTTGGCTGTCGTGCATACCTCACGATACATTGTGCCGCAGGCAGGAACATAGGCAAGGTGGATTCATCGAAGCTCTCAAGGCTGGCAATGTGCGCAAGGCAGATCCCCAAGGCGGAGAGGGATGTTTCAGCGTTGCCAGGGCGATGACGACGAAGTCCTTGGCCTTCGCAGGCCTTTAGAGAGTAATAATCGCTTATTCGGTGTATCGGCCTTGAAGAAATTTTGCAGCGAAGAAAAAAAAGGCCCGGGAGAAGAGATGGAGGACTCGCAGAGCGAGCTCTGCGAGCGTGTGGCTTTTACTTCAGAGTTTTTCAAAGCAAACTGTCTGTGTTTCTGTGAGGACATCGATGCGTCTTTCTTGCACTCAGGGGCCGGGGGGGGGAGTGGCTTTCCTGTTCTGCTACCCTGCGCCTCAGGAGATCCAGAAGGAGGTCGAGGTCCGAAGCTCAGCGTTCAGAGGCGAAGGGAGGCCTGGAGGGAGGTGCTGGGCCTGAAACTGAGGCCGTCGAAGCTGCGAGGCCCGGCTCTGCGCTGTTCTCCCTCCTGCGTTTTTCTACTCTCTCTGGGCGAGGCCTGATGCGCAGCTCCACGGCGGCTCCTTCCTCGGCGGCGGCCCAAAGGATGCCCCCAGACTCTGCCTCTCTGGTCTCCTCCACTAAGGCGATGTGCGGCTTTTCTTGGGAGCCAGCCGGCAGTGGCCTCGGCGGAGACTAGCATAAACAGCAGAGGAGTCGGTCAATTCCGTTTCTGAGATGACCCATATTCCCTTTGCGGAAACAGGCGGCTTACTGACCCTCCTTGTGCTACAATCCGGGAAGGAAACAAGAGTTGCCTAGGATCGATTTAAAAAGCAGCACCCCATGGCTTGAAAGGAGAGCCCAGAAGGCGCGAATGGAACGTTCAGCTGTAGAGTTACTTTGCATAGCATCGTGCAAGGAGAATAAGTGCAGGTGGGACAGGCTCGGTCGGCAAGGATCTGCCGTCAGAAAGCAAGCCTCCGGTCCGGTGTTCGGTTGAGTTCGCTCGTCTGACTCCGGCGGAATGCCGATACCCTGTAAAATGGCAGCCGAGTCGAAGCCAACAAGAGCAAAACTGGTGGAGAGGCTGTTCCCTTGTTCTTGTTTCCTGTCTCAGTGACTTTCACTTTCTTACTTCCTTGCTCCCTGGCTCGACGGGACTCTCTCGCTGTCTCTCGCCCTTCCTCCTCTGCCTTGGCTATCTCGCGCATTTTGTCACAGGAGCTGGAAGACCGTCACCTGCTCATCGTCCCAAGCTCGAAGCGGCCGATGCGAGGGTTGGCTTTTGATGTGAGTTGTGTTTGCCTTCAGAGGTTTTGTGAGCTCATCTCCATCGACGTGGAGAAGTTCCGAAGTGAGCCTGCAGATGTGTCAAGACGGGCCGTGTTGACGGGTTTGAGCTGAGGCTTGATGGTCTCACACTTGCCGCTTGACTCTAGACTCTTTCTAGCTTAGCTTCAGTCTCAAGCTTCGGGAGCTGAGAGAGGGCGCTAGTCAGGCCAGAGCTCTTCGATGTGCTGGTGATCTATTCGGCGATCGACAACCACTGCCGTCGCCCTGGTAAGGGGCGAGAGATGAGAGGCGAGGCGACTGCTCAAAATCTCTGAAGAGCTCAGGTCCGAAGGCTTTGCAGCGTTGCCTGGAGGACAAATTTCACTCAGATGCGGCTCCCACCCGCGCTTCCCTCCAGAGTCTCCTACATATGTCCCAAAATCGCTACATCGAGAAATCTTCACTTGAGGCCCGAACCCCAACCTCGTGCAATCTCACCTCCTTGGACTTGCAAATCTACTGGACTGGTCGTATCTTCATTCACTGCATTCAAGAGACTGCCTAGAGTCTGCCTCGACAAGCCATGCAGGACGATCTGCGTGGCTTGCAGACCCCCTTAGGCCCTTAGGCTGCCCCGGCAGGGGTAGTAGAGATGCAAGGAATCCGTCGAGAAGGACTGAGGGTTCAAGCGTTGCAAGGCGGCACGTCAGAGTGCCAAACGAGTCGCAGCGAGTAAATGGAGAAGAGTCTGCTCATGTTCCGTTTCTGCACTCCCACACCCCACTCCTCTCACTCCGCACGGGAAGCTCGCCCACGAAAGCCCATGGCAATCGAACTCGCGGTCAGGCCTTGAGCTGAGACTTGCCTGAGGAAAAGAGCGTCGGAACTTGAGACTTAGGGCCCGGGGTCCACATAGGGTAAAATCCCTATGTCCATGCATCTGACGCTTAGCCACGTCCTTCTGATTTCTGCAACTTGAGCTCACTTACTTGTCTGGTGGAGTGAGTGAACAGGTTGAGGTATTGTGGCTACGCCTGCGCGCAGACTCCAGGCTGCAGCCTCCCCAGGTGCTGACAGGTTCTCCTGCCGTCGCCGGTAGCCATGGTCTCCAAGCGGTTCGTGTGCAGCTTGGTGCTGTGCTTCGGTGCAGCTTTGCTGCTGCAAGGCTGTGGCAGCGATGCAGATGGCGGCTTGGTGTACGGCTAAGGGGGATGACAATGGCACAACCGCAGCCGCAACTGCCGCAACCACCGCAGCCGCAGCCGCCACCACCACTACGACCACCACTAGGACCACCTCTACGATCGACATGGTTCAGTGGTTCATCTATTCCCAATTTGATGGCACCACCACGTGTGAAGCAGCCGGCTTCCAACACCAGAGCGAGATGTATCCTGCCGGCCACTGCGTGGATAGGTCCACTGACGACACAAACGCCTCCGCGTGACAGCGGTCAACAGCACGGCGCTGAAGGCCGATTCATACTCAGCAACTGCAGCGGCAGCTTCACCGACACCATCTATCGTCTCAGCAGTTCTTGTCAGCCAGAGGGCAACCAAAGCTATCAGATGTCAGATGACACCAATGCCGGTGTCATTGACATGCGTGCCTGCATTGATGGGCAGTGGGGTACGAGACCAATGCTCTTGCCGCTTGATACTTGTATCATGTTGTCGGGTGTTAACTCATATCCGGGCAAGTTGAGTTGCGTCAGCGGGCAGCTTCGCGTCATTCCTTTTGATGACGCGGCGTGCTCCATGGCGACGGCTAACGCGGATGCCATTGTGGAGAACCTGACGTTCGCAGTGCCAGGGACATGCAAGATGGTGATGCTTCCGTTCGGCGAGCTATCTGTCGCGCTCTACAGCGCCGTCTGCTGAAAGGGGGCAGTGAAATTCGAGACTCGAGGCAGCTGCTCGATGAAACAGCCGCTCGGGGGTTCGGCATTGGCTGGTAGCAGGGCGTAACTATGGGGTTTGGGGTTAGGGTTTAGGGTTCAGGGTTGAGGGTTTCGGGTCCAGGGTTTAGGGTTCAGTGTTTGGGGTTCAGGGTTTAGGGTGAGAGCATCTAGTGCCAAGTACGCCCTCAGCCGAAGCCAATACATGCTATACCATCCTTGGACCAATATGTGACTGTCGCAGTATGGCTGCCGACAAATTCGGGTGCTTTGTGGGGTCTCCACTGTACCACATAGTCCACTACTGCAGTATGTGGTTGACAAAACCCTAAGTCCTTGTAAGCATCTGAACAATCGGCGCGCTGCAGTTGAATTTCTTCAGATCTCAACTTGCTGAGCTGGAAAGACGACCCTGGCCTTGGCGAAAAAGGGATCTGCAGTTCTCCAAACGTATTCAAAGCCGGCCAGCTCCGCGCGGTCTTGCTATTGCCTTGACTCAGATGTCGGATGAAAAAAAAATTTCGAGGAGCAGTGCCTCTCACCGGAGGTCCCCCTCCTCTTTGGAGAGGCGTCGGTGTCGCAGTGCCGGTGCGCAAATCCTAACTTCACAGCGTGCTTCTGTTTCAGGGCTTGCTCCACCACTGCGCCAAGAAGAATGTGCGGAATTTAGCCATGACACAAAATGACCGTGGCCCTGTGGCCCTGTCGAGGCCGAATCCTGCGCGCCTGGCAGCCAAGACGCAAAGGGCGACCGCACTGACCGAGCCACCGAGCCATTGTTATCTCATCCGTCCGCTTCGCTGCGTCTAAGGGACTTTCTGATTGAGCAATTGGGCGCGGACGTCTCCGTGCTGGATCAGGAGGATGCGACCGACGACACACCGAACCGAGTCCAAGTACCGCAGTACCACCGCGCAACCGCACTGCCACCACAACAGCTTTCTCTCTGCCTGTCGGAAGGAGAAGACACCTGCACAGGTGGCTGCGAAGCTGAAACACAAGGAGGGGTGCGAAGAGCGACCCCGGAAACGGACATTTGCGTCCCTTTGTCAGGAGGTGTTCTGGGCGGTCATCAAACATGGAAGCATTGTCACCGACCAAGACGTCTTGCCCAAGGAGGCTTGGGAAAGTTGATGCAAAGCTCCTTACAATCGCGACGTGCAGAGCGGGAGATGTTGGGGGGTTCGACAGAAGGCCTCCCCGCAAGCTGTCCTTGTCCGCAAGGCGCAGTCCATCCGCAACAGGACCAAGCGAGGGGTTCAGGCTCGAAGCTTCTTGCTCCGCCTAGCTGCGCCCCAGCGTCTGCGAGTCTCCCCGTGTCTGCAGGTTCTAAGCTCGGGCTCCTTGGAGGCCTGCGGGGGGGGGGGGGGGGGGCCTGGGCCCGGTCTCGGCTTCTCTCGCCACAGGCGGAAGGCGACGAGAAGAATTGGGCACCCTCGGAGCTCCGGGAGCGCCTGCAGCAAAGTGGCCGGGGGGCCCTACTACCGCGCTCCTCTCTCAGTCTCAGTCTCCTCTCCTCTCGTCTCTCGTCCGCAGGCCTGAATCTGGGCCTCTACGGTCATGAAGGCGGGCCAATAAAAGAAGCACATCTTTGCATTCTCTTCGCATGGTCGACTCCCTCGTTAGGGAAGAGGTGAACTTAGCAGACCCAGCAGGGCCGCAGCCTCAACAGGAAGAGCTTCAAACAGCCGCAACTTCCAGAACAGCTTCAAAAAGGGGGGTATTCAGGCTTGGTCATACTGCCCTTCCCTCTGGCCTGGTAGAGTCTGGTAGAGATAGCGAGAGAGCAGGACGTCTTCGTGTCCGAAAGTCCGCAGGCCACAAGAGCCTCGAGGACCTCGTCGCGGAGCTCCACACTTGCCAGAGTGAGCACGGAACCCAGAAACATGCTCCCACTCTGCATTTGTAGTGGTCCGTCCCCTGCCAGGCAGCTCTGTGAGAGGAGGAATTAAGATATTCGTTGACATCTCCCAGGCTCGTCACGGGCCCCGGCAAACGCATCCATCGTCGTGCCGCCCTCCCAGCTGGGCGAGTGTGGGCTCACAAGTCCCCTGACAGCTCTCCAAAGGTCAAGTTGGTCAGGTTGCAGCTGCTGGCCATCATCGACAACAGCGCGCGGAGTCCCAGAGAGCCAGAGCTGGATGCAAAAGAGGGTGCCCTTTCAGCCGAGGTGCGGGCGCTGGTCGAGGTCCAGTCCGACGCGTGGCTGAGGCCGAGCCTCCGTGGCACCACAAAGCACAGCGCCCTTTCGCTCCGCAGTTCCGAGGGCGGCCCACCAAAAGCTCGGCAAACTGCCGTGCCGTCGAATCCGCCAAGATGAGACTGTGGAGGAGGCCATGAAGGTGCGAGAAGGGAGATCGACTTTCCGTACACTTCATCACAGATCAGGGGTTTCAAGTTCACAGTTGCGTCACGTCATACGCCTACACATCGGCATGATCTGAAAAGTGCGAGAGTCGAAGACTCTTCCATTCTGCGGCCTATTCCGGGATGGAAAAGTTAGAGCAGGGGTAGATCTCGCTCGGTGGCTCCTCCGACGGGGGGCGTCTGTTTGACCTGGGACCTGGCTTCTAGCATCTTCTTGCCTTTGTGTCCTTCGGAGTCAGGCACTGATGCTGGACTTAGGCCGGTGCCTAAAGCGCCCGCTTTCTCTTCGCTCTTCACCGCTCTTTCCTCGCTCTGCTAAGGCATGCCGGAGCATCTGCTGGAGGCGCCGCCCTTCGCCCTGAACTCCGCATGTTGAAGACTCGCCCTGTGTCCCAGGAGAAGCTCGTCGCCCTTGTCCTAAGACAGAGCCGACAGAGCCGTCTTTGCAGTCTTTGCATCAGCCGCACTGGTGGCTTTTTCTGAGGTCCCCGTGGCAAATTGCATCAGGGTTGAGAGCAAGGCCTCAAGCGCACACGATGTTTTCTGCATGGCGGCTACAGCCGCAATTCGCGGATCAGGTCTCGATGGGCTTCCCAGGTCGGAAGTTCTTTTTCGTTTCGTGTCCAGTTGAGCCGAGTTGAGCCAGGATTGGAGTCGGAGTACATCGTTCACGAGTCCTCATGGAAGGCACCTTCTTGAGATCTGCAGGCTGGGAGAACGCAGTCCATGCCTTGCAGATCCGTGCAGCGGCACTGGCCAAAGCCGCGCAGATCGGGCTGCCACAAGGCGTGGTGTGCGCCGAATTTAAAAGAGACGAAGCGTGGGGCAGGGACAGCGAGGGAGCTAGACCGCAGAGAAAGTCGAACAATCGTTTCTGCAGAGGACGGGTCGTGGGCAGTGTGGGAAGCTTCCAGGAAACAGAATGCTGACTTGCAGTACAGACGGTCGTGATCTTGGTTGGGGGCAAGGCATTGATGGGACATGCCGGGAAAATCAATGCCGGCTTTTTTGCCCGCGAACCGGACCCGCAGTCCCGCACGCTGCATGAAGACCGTGAAGTGCAGAGTGTCCGCACGCTGTTGGAAGATTTTCTGATTCCAGGGTGGGGGAGGAGCATGTTTCATGCGCAGCCATCAGCGGTGGTCCTCGTGCCGCATGCAAAGGCATGTGAGGAGGGTTACAAGGAGGCCACGGCAGGAGCTTCTGTAGCAGAACAGTCGGGATGTGCGCTAGGGGGCTGGCGAAATCGGAGCCTAGTGCCACTTCGTGGTCTTGCCCATTCCAGTCTCAGGCCACAACACCAGGTGTCCCCTGCGAAACTGAAGAAGAGGTAGGGAGATGCAAAGGAAGACTTGAGACTTTGGGTGGGGATGTGCACGGGGGGGAGGGCCGTTAGAGGCTCTGTGAGCTACCGCGTACGGCGCTTCGATGAGGCAATGCCTTCTCTGTGGAGTCTCCGGGAGCTCAGGCCAGAAACGAGTGCAGCTGCATCGTCCAGTCAGAGTTTCTTTTGCAAGGGGCCGAACAGAAGGCTTTTCTGGCCGGCCGTGATCTTATCAGATTCGAGTGCGATCATGGGAAAAGCTCAGCCGCGAGCTGAAGCAAAGGTCCTTCTGAATATCCACTTGGATGCAAAGCAGGCGGCAACTGCGGCAACCTGTGAACTGCTGGGCTTCGGAGCGCAAAGAGTTTCTGCCAGGAAATGGCGCGCACCGAGGAGCCGGGTTGCCTTTCAGAGCGAGACAAGGGAGAGGAAGGTTATCTTTGTCTGCTTTTCCCGGTGACCTGTGACGAAGGCTCACGGGTTTGGGATGGGTGGAATGGAGGCTCTGGAGCTGGGGGCCCGCGCCCTCGAAGCCCCCGACCAATCCTAAACGCAAGTGGCCTACGTTTCAACAAATCTGGAGCTCAATGCCGTCCCCAAACCGAAAATAACAAGGTCCCTGAACCCGAAACTGTAGTAGCAAGATGCTCTAGGTTCGGACTTGTCTGGAAGCCGTGCCTGCCTTCAGCGAGTATGCGAGTCGAAACCCGAAAATCGCACTGAAACGCAGTAATTCTGCTTCCAAGTGGCTAAACCGGTTTGGGAACGGAAGTGGCTCAGATTTCGAAGCCACTTTAACTTGCAGTAATGGGCCGACGGCTGTCTGAAAGAGAAGAAGCTTATTAAGGGGCTGCGCCCAGAGTCGGGCAACGCAGGGAGTTCATTCATTCATGCATTCCTTAATTCATTCAATCATTCATTCGTTCATTCACTCATTCATTCAATCAATCCGTCAATCAATCAATCATTCAATCAATCAATCAATCAATCAATCATTCAATCATTTAGTCATTCGTTCATTCAATCATTCATTC